ACCCTCTAACAAAGCTTTGACCCTTCTTAATTTGTGGGGCAGTATAAAGCTTGTCTTTACTAACTTCATGATGATATTACTTCTCACCTGGAAACATGAAAAGTGAAGGGAAATAATCTGTCATTTGCTTTCTCATTGCACTTTTCATGGAATTGCTGGTAGGAAATCTGTAATGCCAATGATTTTTCAAGTGCTCTCATCTTTCTCAGGATTTTAATGGAATGTGGTTTCTTTTTCATCACATACATATGCAGAATGGGTAAATCTGGTGAAGGAAATAAAATTGTGATGAAAAGAATTTTATCACTTCAGAAAATACCTGTTTGCCAGAGTGAGATTCACATGAAAATAACACCTTGCTAAACCTGATGACAAACCCCAAAGAATGCATTCTCTTTCCATACACCAGCATAAAGAATATTCTTTTCCTCCCAAAACTTACACATGCCCTAGGGGAATGAATAAAAGCAGAGAATTGTTTTATTAGTACCTTCTACTCCCTAGTACCTTTGCAGGATCTGCACCATTAGTGAGGACATCATGGAAGAGGCTGGAGTGAAGGAGGTCAGAGGAACTGTATAGCAAAAGCTACATTATTCCTCCCTTACAGAGGCTCTAAGACTCTCTGCTCCAATTTCAATTTTTCAATTTTCCTGCTTCTTTGTTCCCAAAGGCACATTAAAGAAGGGGGAGCATTTTTTCTGAATAACGAGTGATCATTTCTTTATCTGATTAGGGCTTGCTACACTCCAAATTAATTAAAAATTAAAGGGAAAAAAAGGAGGAAAATAATTATTTTAGCATTGTACAGTGTTGAATACCTTGCACAACACAGCTGCTTGGCTGTGTGATTTGGGATGACTTCTCTTGGCTCTTGCTGCTGTGGGCATGTGAAGAAAGCCTCAGCCATGGTGGTTTGGAGCAAGCAAATGCTCAGGATAAAGCCTGAGAATTTTCTCCTCCTCAGGATAAAGTTTGGGCAGTTCCTTGGGAATCTGAGCCAAGGTACTGCAGGTCCCTGTTCTCTGAGGTAAGGCTCCTTTGGAACAGTACAATATGCTCTTTGAGGTGTTTTGTTAATAGCATCCAAGCACGCAGGTAGCACGTAGCTCTCCTCCCACAAAGCAAAATTACAGGAACAATTAATAAAAGGTCTCCAATTCAGGGGATTATTCTGCCTGTGACTTAAGCCTGAGGAGGATCATTATCACCAGCCAGCAGAGGATCTATAAATAACCCACAGAGCTGAGTTTAAAGCATTAGCTTAGCCTCTCAGAGGCAATTCAGAGCATTGTCTAAGTGTGGTTTGAGGCAAATATTATCGTAAAGCAACTTATTGTTTTACTTCACAGCAGCAAGGAAATCAGCATTTCTTCTTATCAGGACAACTGACGTTATTCCAGCCCATCACCAAGACTTGTGACAGAACAAGGAGAAAGAATGAGACAAAGCTGCAATTCCCCAGCAAGCACCTTTTCTCAGAGAAGGGAAGGGGAGGATACCCTAAATCTGAAAATGCTGATTGATAGTTGTGGAAATGGGCCCGGTCCACCCTTCATGGGCAGGCAGAGCAGGAGCAGCAGGTCAGGCTCCTCTTGCACACCAGGTCCTGCAGAAATGCTGTTTTCATTAAAAATTTCCTTTGTGTGTCCCTATAAAGGCTGTGCACACGTTCTGTCTGGCCAAGCATTTTGCATCTCCCTCAGCTGGCTGGTCAGGAGATGAGGACTTGCAGGCTTTATCAGATGGTGAAGTTATCCTGAAGTTAATTTAGTTTGTGCATTCAACCCCATGCCTGGTGATGTGCTCCTTGCTTTAGTGAAAAAATGTTGCATGCCTGCCAGTGAAAACATAGAGTATTTTTCTTGCTAAAACAGTGATATTACCTCCAGAAGTGTTGATAAATCCATATACAAAAGCAAAGCAGTCGAATGCCATGCTGCTAGAACTATGATCCCTTAAAAATAATGCTTGAGTAGGCTAAATCTTCTATTTTTATCAATTCAACATTATTTACTTATTATTAATGGCTACAAAAATGGTTTTATTATTCTTAAGAACATGCACAACCTCTGTTCTGTCTGTCTAAAGATACTGAAGCAGCCTGATAGTTCCCTAACTTATGAGTTGCAGCCAAGGGGTAACTGGGCAGAAATAAAGTGGATGTCCCATTCCTGGAAGGGTTCAAGGCCAGGTTGAACCTTGGTCTAATGGAAGCTGTTCCTGCCCGTGGCAGGGGGTTGGAATGAGGTGATTTTAAGGCCCTTTCCAAACCAAACTATTCCATGATTCTCTGCAAAGTGCCTTTTTCTACATGTCAAAGCTGTAACCACTCTACCTGGAAAATAGAAATATAATAGTCCATCCAGTGTGAAAATAATTCTTTATGTACCAGCCTATGGAAATAAGTGGATAAAGCACTCCCAATGTGAGGTCTTTGTAGGAAAACTGTCCTTGAAGCCTGTGATTTTTCAAAAGTTTGGGATGTTAAGGTGCCAGGGCTGCACTCAGAATAGGTTAAATTAGATTAGAATGGTTTCAGTCAAAAAATCCATTTTTGATCTACACATTGCACAATAAAATTAAAAATTAAAGTAATAAGGGGAAGAACAGGGAAATAAGTTAACAAGAGCTTACTTAGCATTGTCAGGGCCCTGAGTGCACCAAGTGAACAAATGACAGAGTTCTCATTTTGTAAATTAAATCTATTTTTTCATGGCAAGGGAAATATAATTCTAAAAATTCTAGCTTTCCAACTACATTTTAGCAATAAGGAGATAATTTACAGAATTTGTGGAATCTGCATTGTTGGGCATGCCTATGAACAGGCTATACAAATACCTGTGTGAGTTACTACACCTGATCCCAGAGAATAGAATTTATGGCTGGGATTATGCATGGTTCTACAAATCTGTGGTTTCACAGACCTCCATTGTAGCAAAGCAGATTTTCATTTAAATGTGGTATCCCCTAATCAACTCCTGCCATATTATATTATTACCTTAATGGTTTTGTGGGTAAGAAAGCCAGATACATAATTTACAAGTTGTTTTGTACACTAGTAATGGATGTAAATGAATATACATTTTCCACAATCTGAGTATGAAACTCTCATCACATTTGGCCAACCCATTGACCTTGCTGTCTCAAAAGGCAGGAGAGGAAATGTACTTTAAAAGCAGCCAGACTAAGTGGAGTGACCTGTACATTTTCAGTATTTCATAATCTGAAAGACCAGTTGTATTTACTGTTACTGCAATCACAACACAAAAATTTATTCCCAGAAGCATTCTCTGGAATAGAGCACAGTGACTGCTAATACAGCAGCAAGATGGCCAATCCAAATTCAGAGCAAAGGAGCTGGGCAATGACCCAAATATATTTGCCTGAGCTGTGACTTAGTGAATGAGAAATGAACATTTTGGTTGGTTGAGAACAGCTCCTGCACAGAATGTTGCCATATCCCCAGCCTGGCCTGATTTTAGATGTATGTCAAAGTCCTTTTTTATCTCTGAAAATTAATGAAAATTATTTAATTTCCCATGCACAGATAAAGAGGTATGCATCTTTTATATCAGCTACTATTTTTTGCTTTTTTTGCCAATGCTTTACTTAAAAGCTCATAAAACTAATGGGTTTGTTCTAATAAAAAAGAAAGCCCTTGAGACCTCATATTCCCTGGCTGCACAGATGGGGCAAGCTTCTCATAAATCCCTTCAAGCTGAAAGATGTAGTAAAACTTAGGTTTTACTGTGTTTTGGAAGCCAGGAGGCATTTGTGCAGCACCAAGGGATGTACCTGTTTACCTCCATGCTCCAAAGAAACACCTTCAGAAAGCAGCAGGAAACTTGAGAAGAAACCTCTTCATGGAACTGTCTTGGTTTCTTACTCACTATCTTCTTTGCTACCTCCACTTTCAGGGTTCTCAGAGATGACTTCAGTTTGTGCCCAAGCTGTCATCAGTGTGAAAAACTACTACCTGGCTCATCATTTTGCAGCTCTCACAAAATCCTGACTGTCCTGTGGCAGGGAAGTTGTTATTTGTGACAGCTTGTGCCTTTTCAGTGTCTTCTCTTGCTGCTTTCTGTAAAGGGAAGAAATTAGCATCATCTCTTTACAGCTGCCAGCTATGACTGCTTTTGAAAGCACTGCCAAACCTTTTCTAAGGTGCTGGCAGATCATCTGGCCCTAAACTTGCTATGAATTTAACGTTTTGAGTAGTGGGTACACCACAGCAATTATTTATGTTCTTTAAGCTCTTTGAAAAAAAAAATGAAGCACTCTGTAAGCATTAAACATCTGTTCATATGGCAACACGAGCATTCCCAGGTGAGTGCTTGCACAACACTGAAAGGTCTGAAATGAAAACACTTTTAAGATGCACGAAATTCAGGGGTACTCAGGTCTCCTTTCTGCACTTTGCCCACAGGCCCTGCTCAGCACTGCCCACTTGTTCACATCACTCTGACAAGTGAAGCTCCTTGGATGAGTTGGGATTACCAGGAAGGAGGAAGCTGTACACTGCAAGCTTTGAACAGAAATCCAAGGTGGCTTTTGTACTTGGGATCTTTCCACCTTTTCCCTTATGTCCTCTACCTGTGTTTTCCCAGCATCCTTCCCCAAGGAAGTGTCCAAGTCTGACAGGAATCAGAGGAAATCTTGCAGTAACCCTTTTGGCATTTAAATCCCCACTTCCAGCAGTGGATTCTGGTAGGGCTGTTATCTCAAAGTTCTTACCATGCCTCTAATGTGTCTGTGATAATACAGAAAAACTCAGATAAAGCTGATAAAGCAATCCTTTTCAGACCTTCCCCTTTCTGACCATAATTTACCTCTTGGCCCCCTGTAGGTGACTAAACTGGAAAGCCAGTTAGATTGTCTTGTTACATTCCCTAATGCAGATATTTAGAGTGACTCTTTGGAGGAGCTGCTCCTTTCCCCCACTGATACATAATGGAGGTAGGAAGGCTCTTAATTCATTACTTAATTTTAGAAGTTATACAGTGTGATAGTCTTCTCTGCTCCTGCTATGGCTCACTGCAGGATGTTCACCTGAGCTCTGAGGCAATTTAATAATTATGATGGAAATTGGAGGGAGATGGATTTTAAAGGCTCTTTGCCTTTAATACTGCAATAGTTTCCTGGCTTGAAAAAATGACATGCACAAATCCACTGTGTTGCTGCATGTAGTCCCTAGACAACAACAATGGTGTTCAGCCATGGAAAATTATTTACTTGGACAAAGAAGAGAGGTTCCAGGGTAGCTTTCTAACAAGGACAAGACAGAAGCAGGTAAAACACCTAATTACTCTCAAGACAAGTCCCTTTATATTTAGGGAGAGCATTTTGTAGCACTAATGGGCAGCCAGGCACTAGATGCCCTGCCTTGCCCTTTTTCTAAGGGTGTGGACCTGCCACAAAGAGGGCACAAAGATGATGTCATTCTGAGATACTTATCCATTCCAGCCTTGCCTTTGCCTGTAAAAAGGTTTCAATGGTTTATTTGTTGGGTTTTTTTTCTTTATTTCTTAATTCTGGCTTAATTCTGATAAGAGGTTTCATGGCTGTGGGCTGGGTAGGTTTGTTGCATTACACTGGCTGAAAGGTTATAAAGACAGCCAATTGTATCTCTGGTTTCCCAAGATTATTCCCTTCATTTTACCTAGAAGTACTTCTCTCACAAAGCACCACACTTCTCAGCCACACAAATTTTAACACCTTCCATTATTATAAAATAATAATGTAATTAATAATAACATTAAATCATGTGTCTCATATAAATAAATCTGTAAATCAGAGTGATGCACCAAATAACCAAGCTACATAAAATTAATGAGTTTTAACAGAAATCATGCAGCTTGTAATTTTTTTTATATAGGGAAGGCTCAAGAATATATACATTTACTTTCAATCCCAAATTTGTGTCTGGAACAATGTCCTCTGCCAGTCAGTTTTAATAGAAACACAGGATCTGCCATGCTCCATTAAGCCCATGATCCATCAAGTCCAATATTGTCCCCTCTGCTTGGCAAATGCAAGATGCTTCAAAGGAAGGCAAATTGTCCCTCATGTACTTGGCCAATTTTTCAAATTGAATAGTCCATTGTGCAAAAGCCACTCCATCCTTCATGTCAAGTCTCTGTCCCATGTGGCTGCAAACGTTAAAGTAATCAAATGGCATGAATGACCCAATGTACCGGTTTAATATTTTAATAACATTTAAGGCTGTGTTTATGCTCTGGTTGGGTCTGTTTCTCTTGAACTGTCAACTGTTTTTGTGCACAATGTTGCTCACATTCATTCTCATTACCTCTCCCATTTCTATTTCAATGCAGCAGCTGAATAAATCAATAGTATCCACAAATCTCCACATTTTTGTGCCAGTATTAAAAATTCATTTCTGATTTTAAATAGACGTTGTAGAGACAATAAGAGAATATTTTTATTAAACAGCAACAAACAGGATGCACTGGTCTGAGCCTTGCAGGAGTGCTCCACTGAATTTTCCTCATTTGAATCATATTCTGTTGCTGCTGAGCTAGGTCCAGATGCCTCAGTAAGAACTACTGATAATTATTGCTGCATTGCATGGGGATGGCAGCAGAGGGAAAAGAGGAAAGATGGGCAAAGTAAAGGAATATAAACAGGGAATTTACGTGGGAACAAGCAAGCTTTCAGTTCCTTGGAACACAAAATTTCTTACTTATTTTTCTACATGGGATGTACAGTCAGGTCATACATCTCACTATGTGACAGGGATCTTTCAGTTCCTGCAAGTCAAGGGCATCTTTGTGCCTTGTATCTGGAGTTTATTATTTGTGGTTTCCACAAAACTGGATGCTGATTATTTAATTGGCTCAGCATATTTAATCTAATAGGGCTGCAGGGAGACATTGCTCAGGACAGTGTCTAGCAGTCCTTCCAGGATCTAATGAGCTGTGTTGTGTTAATTGTGGGAATGTCACAGGGAGAAGAGGGCATAAATGCTGATACACTCATGCTCAATATCATACACACTTTGATACACTCTCAATATCTACCTGCTTTCTGTGGTGATGTCACCTCTGAAGATGGGTGAAACAAGCTCTTGCCTCCTCCTCAAAATATTTCAACCATTTCCTATGCATCTCACTGGTTTAGGGACAAGTCAGTGTATCATTCTTGGCCTTTTTTACAACTTTGCTTTTGTTCACAATAATTTTCACACTCTCATTTTTACAATGCAAATGTAAATGTCAGGAAGTTTGTGAGGCTTTTGAAGTTTTCTTTTTTTAAAATCTAATACTGCAGGTTAGTTATTTTTTGTTGATTACAGGTGTAAAAGGGATTTTATTAATTTGAGAGCAATGCAAATTTTGAAATGCTTCTGTAAGTCTTTCAACATACTGGTTTTACACACAGGATGTATACTTAATGTATATTTACTCATCTGATTTTAACAAGCCCTTGAATAATCTTTGGATCTCTTCAAATGAATTCTGTGCCCACATCAAAGTCCACAATGGACCAGTTTTCCAAAATCTCTAACTTACCAGGCACACATTTCTGTCAACGGCTCTTCCATCAGATAAGGAAACCATTTGTATCACTTTTCCCTTATGGACTAATTTTGATGCTTAGGATTTCAATTTTTCAGGGCTTACTCTACCTCTGGTTATTCAGATGAATTTCCTTTGAGCTTTCTATTGGTAAGAAATCCCTGTTAGCTGAACCTGGAAGCTGAGGGGGTGGGATTCCTAGACAAAGCCCTCATTGTTGCAGGCAGTTTCCACATAGCAGCTCTGGTAATGTAATGAAAAATACTGAGGGAGATGGAAATATCTGTATTATAGGCATATAAATGCTTCCTGCATGAAAGACACTTCCTTGTGTCTGTCTGTCATGTTATCACAAAATACTTGGCTTTCTACTGGAGTTCTTCTGCTGAATAAGCACTTCAGGTCTCATCATCTGAGTTTTAATGGGAGTTGTAGTTGCAGTTTACTCCTAAAAACCAGGACATGGATGTTTTAAAAATTAATGTAACATGTGAGGGTCTCCTGAGTTTTACCTTTTCTCCTTAATTTGTCTGAGGTACCAGTTCAGCTGGACTTGGCTCTGCTCTGAAACCCTAGGAAAATTTGCCCCAGCTTTTCATGGGTTACTGTTTCTGCTGAAAGGTGAATATGAATCTCAAACTTCAGTGCAAGTTATTGCAATGGCATTGATGGAATTGACATGAACTCACAAAAAAAAAAAAAAAAAAAGAAAAAAAAAAAAAGAAAAAAAAAAAGGACAAGAGCCTTAAAGGTTTTTTTGCTTTCCTTAATTTGGAAAGAGAAGTGGGAAATGTGATGCCCATACCTCTGTGTCAGCACCTGGCCACAGATGCTGGGGTACCACAGGGTGCAGTGATAAAAGGCAGGAGTGTTGAGGTTCCTTTTCCTTATTTTTATCTCTACAAACATCTCTCTTCCCAAAACACATATTAATTCAATGGGACATTACCTGTTATTGGCAATTGAAGAGTTACAATAATTTTCACAGCAAAAGATTTTGTATCTTCAATATATTCTAAATTGACTGCAGAGAATAACTTCTAATAATGTCATATCTCCCTTTTCCCACACTTTCTCATCTTCTCTCTCAGTGTAACAGGAATAGTCTTTATCCAAATATCCTGTTTGCTTGGGGTTTTCTTCTTTTTGTTATTGCACCTCTCAATTGCTAGGAATGTTGGCATTTCCTTACTCCTTTTTATGAAAAGTGGCTTTTCTTACATACAAGGCAGGAAAACTGTAACAGAAGTATATCTAGGATTTTTTTTTTTCATTTCATAAAACAGAATATGGGATCTCCAACCTTACAGAACACCTGAACTTGCCATGCCTTAAACATGTTCTATGCTATGGAAAGGCAGGGTGTTGGTCCCTGTGGCTGCTTTAATCAGACTTTAGGCTTCACCATGCCTCTGATACCAATTCTGATTAATTCCTAATGAATGGCTCTGCATCTTAGTTCAGAGGTGAGATGTGGCCTCTTTATAAGAAATTTATTTCCAGGAGCCTTAAGACTAATCCACCAGTTGCCAATATCATCTCCTGCTCCCCTGGGAATGATGATACTCAGAGTGCTCAGCATTTCAAGGGTAGGAATTATTTGTTAGAGCTGGAAACACGATTTTTGCTGTACCAGATAATGGGGCTTTTTTTCTCTTGGCCCCAAATGACTTTGGAGCTGCACAGGAGGATGTGCTCCCACTCCCAGCATAGCTACAGTGCTTAGCAGCATCTTCCTTTGATCTCCTTCCCCTGTAGCTGTCCATCCCTCTGACTCAGGATGGAAAGCAGGGTTTTGGGATGACCCCCTGAGTTTCTGTCACTCAAACAGAGAGCACCTCTGGTGGAGTGTTATCACCTAGTCCACAGCAGCCTGTGGAAGGAGAGATTACATTTTCAATCAACATTGTGCACTGTGGTATTTACTCCTCTTCCAACCAGAGGGGTTTAATGCTCTGAGGTACAGCAAGTAGTTAGGAGCAGATGGTATTTATCTAATGATGAGATTTAGGGGAAGTAGGCTCTGAACTATGACAGAATCAGGCAATCTTTCAGTCAAAACTGCCAGACACCCTGGACAAGGCAGCTTAGAATGGTGCAAACCTGGATGAAGGATTTTTTCTTCCTCAGGGAGCCACGTTTGTCACTCAGATTTGTCTTTCATACAGTGAGCTGTTTAAAGTTCTTTCTGCCAAGGAGTCACAAGTGAGAAGGTGTCTACAGATTAAAATATATTACAACAAAAACAGCATGAAAAAGCCACTTGTTTCTGGGTTTAAAAATCACTGTGAACTGTTTTTAATTCATCACTTGACCTTTTTGCCTCTTGCTATTATTTTTATTATGTCCTGCTTCCCCTGTTCTCATCCCCACAGTGACTCAAATCCCCCAATTAGAGAAATATCAAATGATGTCCAAAAATACTCAGACTTAATTACTTGAACAGGATGGAAATCATTGATAACTT